GACAGAAGGCTCCAGCGCCAGCTGGGGAAGCAGAGGGACACATGAGCTAGATCTTTCACTTGGTGCTAGGCAGCCTGAGGTGAGCTAAGCCAGGGTGGGAAACAGAGAGACCCTCTGTTTCTCATTCCAGAGTATCAGGAAAGTTGCTTCACTAGAGGTGAGGAGTGGGGCCAGGAGGCAGGAGTCCTAGACAAGGTGACAGGAAGGGAAGACATCAGGGTAGCACCCAAGGCCACCTCCCTTACCTTGCAATTTAGGTGGAGGTCTTTTTGATCATGAAGTTTCTAATTGACTCTATGCTAAAAAGTGACTTTTAGTTGGCAGACATTGTATTTGGCTTTATCATCTTTAAGTTCAATCCAGCAAATCTAAGTTCAAATGAATCCTGTGTGGAGACAGTTGCTGGGGGAAATCCTGTTACTCCTACCCTGTAAGAGCTAACAAGGGTTGAAGAGGACAATGTCATTCACTGAACATTTACTAAGGGCCTTCCAAGTCTCACCGTGTGTAGCTGAACAAGTTGTGTACTGTGCAACTGCAGGGGCAGCACTCACGAAGAGCACCAGGGAATGGGATCCCAGAGAACTCACGGTAGTGCAGTCTAACTGTGCTATTCCAGCACTGCCCACCCTCACTAGACATAGTACATAAGAGCTTCACTCATGAGGTCTCTTCCAAGCTTAGTAGCAACATCTTCATTGTATGGGGAGAAGGCCAGACCGTGGTGACTCAGAAGGATCCTTTAAATTAGTCAAGACCTAGGAGTGATAAAGGAGGGGATCCCAGCCAGGAGCCAACGCAGTATCTTATGTCTGTGTCAGGCACCACCATTCACTCACCTGTTCATTCCTTCATTCAATAAACACACCGGAACCCCTACTAGGTCCATATGCTGACTAGATCAACAGAGAGATTTGTATATGGAATACTCTCAAGCATCTATGCCAGATATTTGTTACGTGTGAAGGACCCAACCACGAATTACCAAATATTTGTGCTCTGAGAATAAGGCCTCATTCCTCCTGCAGGGCAGCAAACACCATGGGAAGCAAGTCAGCCCAGGCCCAGGCCACCCCTTCTAGAGAACACTCAGCATGCAGCAAGTCATCTGAAGGCTGTGAAGCAGTGAGGGCTAGTGGGCTGAAAGGCCCTGCATCAGAGGGGGTGGTCAGAGTGCGTTTGTTTGAGCAACTGACCACCAAGGCAGCCTTTGTCCACTCAAGTGGTCCCAGCACCCAGTCCCTGACACATAGTGGGTACTCACCAAATACTCTGCCTCATTGCATGCTGCCTGGTTGCATACGACCCCACCCCTGATCCCAGCAAAGCCCCTAGGCTGGGATGAGCTTTTTATACTACCCATCTTCTGTGTCCTGCCGCTGCCGTGGTCCCAGGAGGTGAACCATCTCTCTCTTCATCTCAGAGAGGCAGAAGAGAGGACTGCAGTGCCCAGTTGTATGCTGTGCCCAGCCCTGCCCATGTAGCTATTCCCATCCACGGCCGCTCTGGCCGCACATGCTGGCTTTGGGGTTAGCATCAGCCATGTGTTGAGCACAGCAGCTATTAACCAGATGAATCCTCTCTGTGCTTTCAACCACAAGAGGAAGCACAAGGTGCCAGTCATCCCTGCCTTACTGGTCCTGGTGCATGAGACCTGTCTTTGGAGAGTTATTTCTCACAAACTTGCCCTGGTATGCACGTGCATAGCATGCATGGATGGATATGTGTGAACTCTGCATATTTGGAAAGGAGATTTCAGCTTTTTGCAAACATTACTATTTGAGCCTGAGAATAAACAGGATCAGTGTTAGTTTTGTGGGGCTGTAAGGCACCACCTACCCAATGGCTACCAAGCACAGGTTACAGTGGACCTGGGCTAGAGTGACAGGGCTGGCACCCCTTGGGGGCCACGGAGGCCCCCACTGAGAATCCCAGCTCAGCTTTCTCCGTCTGCCCAGGACTACTTCCTGCCCACCAGTCTTTCACTCCCAAGCTTGAAAAACCTCCTTAGAAAAGCAGCTGCATGCTGAAACTCCTCCCAGGGTAGTTCGTGGTGACAGCTGCCACTTCAGCGCGAGACTCTGGAGCTAGATTCACACTAGGTTTGAATGGCAGCTGTACTGTTAACTTCTTGGCAACCAAGACCCCAACACCCAGCATGGCGCCTTTTCTGGAATGTCAGGGATGATTCAGAATGGTGGCTGCTATGTCTGTCTTCATCAACCTGCACAAGACTAGAGTGAAAGGTGGTAGGGTTCCTAAACGTGCCGTTCAAGTGGACCTGGCCAGAGTGTTCAGTCACCCTTCTAGTCATTCACTTGCTTCAAGAGTCCTGCCAGGGTCCTGGGGATTCTGGGAGTGCACCCATGTCACCAGCTCTATCCTTGGACTAAAGACTTCCCTTACAGATCGTCCTCCGCTTCATCCCGCAGGCAGCCCTCAGCCTGCCATGCTGACATTCCTGAACTTCGCTGCTTCATGCTGTTTCATGCCCCAGGCCCTTGCACAGACCAATTTCTCCCTCTAGAAAGATTTTCTAAAACTCATCTGTGTGACTAATTCTTGCCATGCTCAAACCAGCTAAAGTGCTAGAAGCCTTTTTAGAGAAACCTAAATGCCACGCTCGGAGCAGTCCTTAGCATATACATCCATGATAACTCTGAAGACAGCTGTGCCACCCCCTCCCCTCAACAATCAGAGCAGCAGACTTTGAACAGGAAGCTTATAAACACACACATGAGATGGGAAACCAAGAGGTGAGACCTCTACAGGGATCTAGACTCAAGAGTTTATCTCTGCCAACCTGTTCCAGAAACTCGGCCACAATAAATCTCATCTCATCTAATTCTGGGACAAGCCAGATTGGTGTGGGCTCAGATCCCAGTTCAGTGATGCAACTCCTTGGATTTTTGGTTTCCTTATTTTAAACACGGACATGTTATCATCTACCTTTCTTGTCGGAATCAAATGATTTGCTAATGCTCAGTATTTCATAATATTTACTTTCACCTCTAAGAGAAAATATACAAAGATGACAGTCATACATGTGCATGGTACACACATACACACACACACACACACGCACACACACACACACACACTCATGTCATCTGTATCACACTTACACAGTGACAGATCAATATGCTGAAGACAGTATCACACCCCAGCTCCGACCCACATCAAACGGCCCGAGCTCTACTTTCCAAAAGGACTCAGTGCAGATGGTTGTATTCTGTTTTGAAATCACACTCTGTGAAGCCACATTTAGAAATGCTGTGATGTCAGCTGTGCCTGGAAGACATCCTCTCAGGGCCATGGACTGTGTGAAGGGAGATATTCAGTACCCCACTGCTTCCACTGTGTTTTCTCATGTGCGCATGTCAAAGTAATATGAATCTTGAGCATTAACAAAACAGAAGCATTTGTAAACCTTGCTCAAAGCTATATGCTTTGATTTGTATATCTGCAATTGTATTTAACATTTACTCAGCTACATACTATTTATCTATAAATGTACTACTTTTGAAGTGATGATAGTTAAGGGTGATGAATATGTAAAGGGGAAAAATAACTTTAATTCACTGCTTCTAAGAAAGTAGCCAGGAAAAACTGTTTGAGACCAATTAGGCAATATAAGTCAAGAGTCTTGGAATATAAATTTTCTAGCATAAAATTCCTCTTTGGAGAATCATCCCAGGAAATAGTTTGGCCTTGAGAAGAGGCTCTGAGTACCCAGGTCTTCATTCATCCTGGCATTGTTATGATGATGAAGACTCATATAAACCAAATATCCCAAACCAAAGAGACATTAGCAGACTAGTGGATAACATGGCAACTGCCTCTGTAACATAACATGCTCCTCAGCTATTCGTTCAGTGATGCCATGAGAGTTGGACATGAAAGGAAGATGTGGGTGGAATGGGAGCACAGAGCTTCCTAAGGATGCATGCTTTAGAGAGCTCAGCAGCAGTGTAGAAATATCACCCATCACAGTGGGTATAACCAATGTGGAAATACGACCCATCACAATGGGTATAACCAATGTGGAAATACGGCCCATCACAGTGGGTATAACCAATGTGGAAATACGGCCCATCACAGTGGGTATAACCAGTGTGGAAATACGGCCCATCACAGTGGGTATAACCAGTGTGGAAATACGGCCCATCACAGTGGGTATAACCAGTGTGGAAATATGGCCCATCACAGTGGGTATAACCAATGAGGATATGCAACCTTACGGTACAGACAAGAGTGTCAGACCACATAGAGCAGTGGAAGGCTGGGAGGAAGTCAGCCACCCAGTGTCAGCTGACACTCGCCAAGGCAAGAACTCCAGGAATTAAGCAGCAGTGGGATCCACAGATGACATAGCAACTCAGAGAGCAGGGTCAGAGGAGTCGCAAGAATTCAAAGTGATGGCCTCCAGCTGGGGAAAGGGGAAGGAGGGTAGAGGTGGCACGCAAAGTAAGTGTGTGTGTATCTGTCTGTGTGTATCTGTCTGTGTGTCTGTGTGTCCATGTGTCTGTGTGTAACTGTGTGTTTGTGTGCCCGTGTGTGTGTGTGTGTGTCTGTGTGTGTGTGTGTGTGTGTGTGTGTCTGTGTGTGCACACGGGCACATGCTAAGCCATAACTCTTTGGGAACAGTTTGACTATTTCAACCATGTTTACACATTACTTCAATACAATTCAAGATAAATTGTGCTTTGGACATGGATCATCGGTGAGGACTTGGTGTCATCAGCTCTCTCTAAGACTCACCTCTGCTATCTATGATTTCAGACACTCGATACAGAATGTTAACAATACAGCTCTACACATGCACGCTGTATGATCTCCAAATCTAGCTGCTTTGAAAGTGCAAGGCAGACTGATGACATGAGCTGGCATTTTTATGCTTCAGCTACAGCCTTGGTGTTAAATCCAACCCCCTATATAAGCTATGGTTCAGCCCCTCAGTTAGGGACATGACAGGTGTCTAGGGTTCCTCAGACATCATATCACAGGCCAGGAATTAATGTCATATGGCTTCTCAGCTGAGGGGCCACTGAGTCCAGTCTGAGCTTTCGGTTTCCTGACAGAGGAGAGTAGAAGGGAGAGTGCAGAGGCTTACCCTACACTGACACACCACCCCACCTCAAGCACAGGGCATCCCCAGCTCCTACACTCCCCACACTCCCTGCCACCTCAAAGCCACTTGGAGCATGTTGTGATGGGTCAGGAAGATGGGCTACTTTAGTTTTGGAGTGGGTCAGAGCCTCAGTGCCTAATGTTTCCCTCAGTATGCCCACAACTGTGAGCCCAGCTGATTTTTCACCACTGAGCATCTGCCTTTTCAATTTTGGACCATAATGCCACTCTCCTGACCTTACCTGAGATGCTCAGATCTGGTGAGTGCCTCAGAAGGTGAAGCATCCTTTGAAAGGACAAGAAAAGCAACAGGTTTAAGTGCTGTGTGATCCCATGAAGTGTATTGTACATGTGCTCCTGCCAGTTCTATAAGACAGTTTCTTCATCTGTGGAAAGGTGCCAGCCCTACCTACAAATATGTCTAATCTACAGCAGCTAGAATTCATCAGTGTGATGGTGCTGTGTCTTACAAGCTAAGCCACTGCATAAAAGCAAAGGAAAGGAGGCGGAAGAGGAGAAAGAAGATGATCTTTCTCCTAAGGAGGATCGAACAGACAATGAACTTACCCTTCTCGGTGAAGGAAGGCAGAGCAGTCAAAGGGCAGAAGCTGGGGATGTCATTTCGAGCATCTGAGAAGAAACAAAGGCAGCATTTTAGCCCTGCTTGGGCCACCCCATCCCTGTATCTGAAGACAGCAGCAGAGGTCCAGGGCACTGTTGGGAAGCTGGACTCTACAAATCAGAGTCAGCTTACTCCACTGTGACAAACAGCTTCAAATCCTGGCAGCTTCTGCAGCACAGGGCCACCTTTTCCTTGACCCTGTCCTACCACAGAGGACAGCCTCTTCCCTCATGGCCCCAGCCCAAGAAGGTTTCTTCTCTCCCCAGGCTTCAGTTGTTACTATGTAGGGCAAAGAGGCTGCAGTGCACTTCAATCCCACCTTACATCTTCCATCCAGGAGTGACAAGCATTTTCCACTCACATGTCATTAGCCACTGGATGGAGGTCAGAGCAAGGGAAGTGTCTTCCCATGCTCCAGAGAGTGGCAAGCCAGAAACTTGTGGCAAAGACGAGTACCTGCCACTGTTACTCCTGATTCTGCGAACCTGTCCGAAACATTCCACACCTGTTTCCACTCCTGTACAATAGAGAGGACTCTGCCCATCACCAAGGTTCTTGTGGGATTACAGAAGGTGACTTAATATGTGGAAAGTACCTCAGAATAGGGCATATGGGCTCAATAAACAGCAGCAATAAATGGCAAGTCACATGGATGTGGATAGACCAGATCTGAACACCATGTACCACAGGGGGCAAGACAGAGGGACAGGCCATCTGCGTTCTATACATGGCCTCAGTGTTGGTACAACAATGACATAAGATGTCAATAAGAAACTTCATACCTTGTAGGTGATATGCAATACTAATTAGCCTCGTCCCCTTCCTCGCTCCTCACTGAACATTTGAACATTTGAGTCCAAATCTTCAAAGCCCCTCCATTCTTTCCTCTTCCAATGGTTCAAGCAGGACTGAGCCTGGTGATCCTCCCACTCATGGGGAGATTCAGGGATGCCTGCTAAGTTGTTAAGAGCGGGGCTCCAGGGTCAGAGACTCAGAGCAAGATAGTCCTGACCTTTTTCATCATTGCTGTGTGGTTTGAGCAGGTCACTTAGGATTTCTGTGCTCAGAAGTTAGCAGTATCCTCTCTCAGGACTGTGAAGTTTATAGGATTCTGATATTGCAGTTCTTGGGATATAATAAGCACTTAAATGCTGGCATTACTCAACCTTAATATTACCTTCTCATAATGATACTCTCATGTCATGGCTTCCTGCTGTCCCTCAGGTCAGAGTCCTGCTCTGTTCTGGTCCCCAAAGTCCTGGATGGGACCCCTCACATTCTCATCTCCCATCTCCTTCCCTTGGTCAGGTTTGCTGTGATTTGAATGCTCCCTCCAAAACTCCTGGGGAAGTTCAGTTGCCATTGTGGCCATCAGTTGGTGGGGCCTCTGAGCAGTGACTAGGTAATGAGGGCTTCATTCTCTGCTCATGAACAGATGAATGCTATTCCCCAGGGAGTGGCTTCTCCATCCCAGCAGTGTCCTGCTGTAACAGCAGCTCTCCCACACTGTTCTGACCCCGCTCCTCACCATGGGTTACCTCCAAACTGTGCCGGATAGCTTTAGTTATCAATATGACACACCTGGGTCAAGGGAGGCTCAACTGGGGAACTGTCTCCATTGGACTAGCCTGTGGCCCTGTCTGTGGGACATTCTCTTGATTGTTGAGTGATGTGGGAGGGCACAGCTCACTGTGGGTGGTGCCACCCCTGGGAAGGTGGTCCTGTATTGTATTAGAAAGTGGGCTGAGCATGGTCCAAGAGAGCAAGCCAGTAAGCAGCATTCCTCCATGGCCTGTGCTTCAGTGCTTGCTTCCAGGTTCCTGCCCTGAGTTCCTACCTTGGGCTCCCTGATGAGCTGTGTCCCAGAAGATGTAAGCCAAATAAACCCTTTCCTCCCCAAGTTGGTATTGGTCAGAGTGTTTTCCCACAGCAATCAAAGGCAGACTGGAATAGAAATTGGTGCTGGGAGTGGGGTACTGCTGTGACAGGCCTGACCTTGGTGTTTTGGGGGGGGGATTGTGAAATTGTTTGGGACTTTGGGCTGAAAAAGCCATTGTAGTACTTAGAATTTGTTGCTGTGGAGCTTGGAATGGTTATGCTGAAAGAGTTGTAGATGATGGAGACCTGGCTTGTGACACTTCAAAGGGAAGCAGAGACTATCAGGGCTGTTTGTGTGATATCCTGAATTGAGAATCTGTGAGTTCTAGTGAGATGGGGCTAAGAATCAGCTGTGATTAAGAAGAGACCAGAACCACTGAAGTGAAGCCTTTGTTTTACTCAGACAACTGATGCTGGTTAGCTGGGGCTGAAAACACCAGCTGTAAGTAACAAGCGAACCAGCATCATTGTGGTAAAGTCTTCTAGAAAGTATTTCCTCAGGGTCAGCACACAGAAACTATGGACCAGTGGAGGCCCAAGTCTCCATCTCAAGCTGGAAGCATGACTTGGTAATGTGTAAGTGTCTCCTTCATGGTTCTGGTGTTGAAAGCACAAAGGAATCACGGAGAGCAGCTGAAGCTTGGCACCCCGAAAGCCAGAAGAGAACATTGGTGTAGGTGCAGCCTGTTTCAGCGGTGACCCCAGCTTTTTGGAGATGCCAGGACCATGGTACAACTACCAAGGGCAGCAGCAGGTGTGGAATGGAGCCAGCCTAGGTCTACAAGTCAAGCTATGTATGCTGTGGATGGCAGAGTCAGAGAAGTAGAGCTGCCAGAACCCTTTGGAGCCCAGATTGTCAGTGAATCCCACATGTCCAGCCTTGAGCTATTTTACTGGACTTAGATTTTGCTTTTAGTATGCCCAATTCTTCCCTTTTGAAATAAGACAGTACTTGTTTTGGATTTTACAGGAGCCCACCCACAGTTAAGAGAACTTTAAAGGAAACTGTAGACTTTTAAGTGTTTTGATATTTTTAAGGACTGTGGGACTCTTAAGGTTGTATTGTCTTATGTTGTGATATTAACATCATATCTTGGGGACAAGAAATGGAAAGGTTGTAGTTTAATAGTGATGTGTTTGTGTGTCAAGTTGACAAAGGGTCAATTGTGCTGGGTGGCTTTAGTTGTCAACTTGACACACCTGGGTCTTGATATTAACATCATATCTTGGGGACAAGAAATGGAAAGGTTGTAGTTTAAAAGTGATGATGTGTTTGTGTGTCAAGTTGACAAGGGGTCAATTGTGCTGGGTGGCTTTAGTTGTCAACTTGACACACCTGGGTTAAGGGAGCCTCAATTGGGGAATTGCTTCTATTGAACTGGCCTGTGGCCATGTCTGTGGGGCATTTTCTTGATTGTTGAGTGATGTGGGAGGGCCCAGCCCACTGTGGGTGGTGCCACCCCTGGGTAGGTGGTCCTGTATTGTTTAAGAAAGCAGGCTGAGCATGGTCCAAGGGAGCAAGCCAATAAGCAGCATTCCTCCATGGCCTGTGCTCCAGCTCCTGCCCCCAGGTTCCTGCCCTGAGTTCCTACCTTGGGATGAGAGTAAAGATGCAGACAAATACAATAACTGTTCTGGCAGTGAGGCAGCTTGTGGAGGTCACAGGCATAACTAGGAGAGCTTGCCGTCCCTCAAGTGCTCTTCTGTGTCTAGGACTTCAACAGGTTTCAAGGGTCCTTGCTTAGCAGAGGAATGGAACTGGAGGCTGATACTGTCATTTCAAGGAGTCATATTTGACTCTGAGCAAAGCCAAGTTGGGTCTGCAGACTACACAAGCACAAACAGGAAGGGAGGCCCCATCCTTTTCAAGATGCAGGGGGTACTAGAGCCTGTTCCCATCTCTACAGGAAGCTCCAGGTTCCTGATGCTGCTCACCTGAGAGGCTTCTGTGCCCTGCATACCCATTGGTCTACTAGATACCAAGGATGTTTCCCTTCTGATCTTGATGCTAGGGAAGAATGCAACAACTCATTTTCATTCATAAACTTAGCCTGGCTATCTGCAGTTCTATGCTAAGATACATCAAACTTTGTGTGCACTTAAGGACAGGAATATCCTGCCACAGGCTCTATGGAGGCCCTTCTTGGTGCCCCCTCCACCCACCACTACCCCCCCCCACCATTCTGAGTGTATGGCTTTGTTTCTGGTTACTGAGGAGCTCATCTCTGACTTGTGCTCTGTGAGCACAGTTAGAGTAAGAAAGTTAGGATGTAATGGCTGGTGTGTAGGTCTCTCTTCTGAGTCTGTGAGGTTGATGAGGACTGTTTTCCTTGACTCTGTAACCCAGTGCCTACAATAGGCATCAGGCATACTTTCTGTCCCCTAATCCTCTGCCTTTTATCTTGGACTACCTCTTTCCTAGAGTCTCTTTGGCATAATCCGGTATAACAGTTTTCCTTCCTTCCCTTTCACATTCTGCCACACAGTTCCCTGTGTCCAGGGGATCCTGCCACAGAAACACCAACTACATCTCTAAGATTCAATTATCTAGGTGCAAAAAGAAAGATCATACTCTCTGTATGGGACAAGAAGGGAACCCACCTCACAGCAACATAAAACGATGCCATCAGAATGCTTAGAGTTGGGTCTGTAGACAGTCAGTAATTAAGAAAGGCCACGTCCCTCCATGATTACAAGGCAAAGTCTCCTATAGCTTTTCTCCATCAGAGTTCCTCAGTGAAGTGTATGCCTTCATGTATAAGGGTTGACTAAGAGGTAACAGTTAGGATCACCCTTCAGGGCTGAGGCCCAGTACTGCCTACATGTGGACTTCCTTAGACCCTTCTCTAGTACCATATGTGATTGGTTATTACAAGGACAAGAACTAGAAAGGAGCAGCCATGATGTCTGCTTATGAGCTGGGAAATTCTAATAGCATATTAATGTGGTTTTATCTACCAGAGAAAAGGGAACTCAAGGCCAAACAATCATGCAGAGCCCAGACAGTGAATATGCTTTGGATCAAATATATCTTGAGTCAAAAGATGGTTTTGTGACGGTCAATATGGGCCACTGGGAGAACGGTGAAATTACTCATCCAGGTTCCTTACGTAAGGCTTCTTTTCTCTGTCTAGGTCTTAGGAAGAGATGCTGTGTGGGATTTTAAGACTTGTTCATTCCCTTTGATGAAAACCACTTAAAGAGAAAGACCTTATCCCGCCCCACTAGGGAGTTACACTGTACCCTGTCAGCATACCCCCTGACGGTCAGCCTTCCTTCCTTTGGCCCTAAGGCAGGACACAAAAGGCCACTCACTCCAGAATACCCTCAGCCATAGACATGCAAGGTGAGTCCCACCAGGAGCCAGCCACACATGAAAGGTGAGAGGCTGATGCCATCTTAACACACTTTCTTTCTCTCCAGTTGCACTTAAAATAACAATAGCAGGCCTTATGCAGATTGTCCTCGTGAGCAGTTCTATGCCTATGGGCCCAGGAGACTTCAGGAGGTGTCCTTGCAGCCAGAGGTGGGCCTATTTCTATTTCTGCAGGAGACATTTGTAATTCCCAGCGGAATCATTTCTTGTTTTCCTACACTTTCTCTAGCCTGTACCTGCTGTGCCAGTCACCCACACAGGCTCACCCCACCTCTGTAGACCATATCTATGAAGAACAGAAGCATTTTGTTCCTCTCCTATTCCTTAGTACCCAGCACAGGATATGTCCCGCACAAGTACTCAGTGAAGTTCTGAAGCATCTAGTCCTCCTTGCAATGGGAAGTCCTGGCAACTGTGGGGTTTATCTACTTAGCATCTGTAACATTACAGTGTGAGTTCCTGAAGGTCAGGAAACATGGGCCGTTCCCATTCTGCTAGACCACATAGCAACACAGAAGTGAAATGACCTGGACCCCAGCTCTATCAACTCCCTGCTGTGTGACTTTAAACAAGTGTTTTGGCCTCCTGGGGCCTCTAGCTCCTCCTCTGACTGGGGTATAAAGATTTGATGAAATACTGCTTGCAAGGCACTGACTTCCAGCATGAGAGCCTTAGGAACAGAGGCCGGGCTGTCATACCAGAGGCTCCTGGGCATCCAAATGCTCAGGTAGGGTTTGTTGAGTGCCAGCCTTCCTATGAATTTTCATTCTCTGCTCTGTGGCTTCTGGACAGGACCTCTGAGGCCCTGGCCTGAGCCCACAGAGTCTGTGTTGAAAGGAGATAGAGGCTCAAGCCATCAGATGAAAAGGAACGGAACAGCTGGAAAGTGTTAGAGGCAGGAGCACCTTGGGCTCTTTTTCTTGCCAGCATCTGTCAAAATGTTGCAGCAGCCTGGCCTGATTTCTATCACATTCTAAACAAATGAATTATTGCTTAAGCTTCTTTCTACCCGACTCTTCCAGGAGTAAAATGAAAATGGAAAGTGGCATTTTCCAGATGCTGGCGAGGTGAGGTGAGAGGACAAATGGCAAGGAGGCTCTGGGTGCACGTGGCTCTGAAGCAGCTGGAACACTCATAGCTGCCCTTGGGCATCCTTCAGAGCCATGGTGCTAGGCCAGCATGCTCCCCTCCTTCCTGACCCTCAAAATATGGCCTAGACACCGCTCTGGGTGGAAAATCCCCCTGAAATATAAACCCAAAGATGCAATTTCATTATACAGTTCCCATTTTTTTCCTAAAACAATTCAAGATGTTAAAAGAAAAATCCAATAGTGTGACCTCAAATCAAGTTTCAGGTAGAAGGTACCCACTAGCAGGGAGAGCCCTTCTAGCCTGAAATAACTTGCCCCACACCAACTTGCCCTGAGGTTGTGAAACATACAGGTACATGAGCAAGGCCAAGGGCAGCTCTGCCCCAGAGCCCAAACTAGACCTTTTAGTTCAAGCATGGTTCTGACTAAAGACCACTCCAGAAGGGGTTTGTTTGCCAGTTTGTTAGCCTTCTTCAGTTGATAAATCAGTTGCTTGTTAGTTACTAAGTTGGGGGAAAACCAGTCAGGCACTGTACCTGGACATTTTAATAACTACTCACTGGAGAACTTAGCAGAGGATATCCTAAAAGGGATAGGAGAACTTAGGGGCTATCAGATCTGGGCTTACAACTTGACTGCTTCTTAGTAGCAGTGTAGTTGGGCCAGCACCTTCCACTACTGACTTTACTTATCTGACGCTGGAGGAGTGATGCCTGTTCCTCAGAGCCACCATAAGAGTGAAGTGGCCTGGCCCATGTAGACCCAGAATGTGCCGACACACAGCAGGTACAAGAAGAATGCCAGGGCCCTGTTACTGCCCCCTACTGGGCAGAGAGCCGTGTAGGTAATGTAAAGAATGTGGAGAATGAGGTTCTACTTCTCTAGAATTCCTGTACAGCAGCTGACCCTCCACTCTGTTTACTGGGGAAAGATCAAGAAGGGCCAGTCCAGATTCACTCAGAGAAAGTGGGAAGGAAGCAACCTATAGTCAGAGATACTGATCCTCTGCTCAGCCTCTCTGAAACCTCATAAGACAACCCTTTGATATCTGGATATCTGTGTAAGTTTGCTCCTGGGTTACAAGCAGATGGCCAGTCTCCTCTAGTTTCTATGCAGTCATTCACATCATACACCCAGAACCTAGAAGATGGGACTGTGTTGGTCTCAGTCATTTATCCCACTGACAGAGAAGCTGAAAAGTAGAACGAGTCTCCTAAAGACTAGTCTGTCCCAATTACAGAGTTGGGAGGACGCTAACATCACCTCATGTGAGTCCAGGTGTGTCTAAGCAAATGTAAGAGCAATCATTCATTCCTTCACAGATTTCAGAATGAGCTCCTAAAACTGCCCAGATATGAGCTTCAGTGGTTATAAGCACACCTGCCTTCAGGCCACACTTGGAGTACAGGCATTTCTTAAAATCCTAACTTAAGTGCATCAAAAATGCATACAAGCTACCCCTGCTTTCTTCCCTGACACTGCCACACTTCATGCCATCTGACACAGATGATAATTAGATAGTGAAGAGACCAAGGGACCATGGCAGAGTGGACAACTGTTGACTTTGATGCCTATCCAGTAACAGGGCCTTTGCCCTTCCTCCTTCAGTGAATTCGGTTTGTTGAGACAGTTGCTCAAGCTTTCCCACTCTCCCTCTGGCAGTGGAGGACCCGTAGACTATGCAGGTGATCTTCCCTGAACGTAAAGCTTCCATACAACACAGTGAGCAGCTTCTCTGAAACAGTGAGAAGTGGCAAGCCGAAAAGGATGGCTACCGGCCCTTGCTAAAACACGTCCATGGAGCCTAGTCTGTTTCCATCTTCCCTGAGACACAGTTGGTCATCTTCCTTCGGGTGAATGATTCCAGGGCACTTCTTTTCCACCTAAGATAAATAGAATCAGCTTCTTACTGGCACCCAGTGAATCCTGACTCATCTACATGCTGACCTCAGGACACCATCCTAATGCAGGCTTGAGACACAGTTGACAAAAGCTGTCAGGAGCAGGTTACTCACCAGGTTTCTGATACCATCCAAAGGGATGAGTGTAGACTTCAGTGTCCTCAGAGTCACAGTCCAAAATGCGCCAAGTTGCTCCACTCTCCGTGCTGCATGTTTGAATTCCCATGCTGTTCAGAGTCAGGCAGGTCACCTCTCCTCCTGGTGGAAAACCCCGGGAGGCCGGGAAGGTGAGCCAGTGAGAGATTTGAGCTGAGTGGGAAGGTTTTTGCAAACAATTGCTCAGCAGATGTCTGGGTTTTCACTCTGTATTCTAGGTAGTGACTTAGCCATCCCTACAAACCTAGCTCCCATATTTAAAGCTCTGGCCTAAGAGTCTAGGGATGGAGGCAGCTGCTCCTGACACAGCACCTGCCGATCATGTGTAGGAGCTGGTCTGGTTCTGTGGCTTCACTTTACTGGGCCCAGGGAGGAAGATAACATATGTGCTTCTATTCACAGATGAAGGTGCTAAGGCCTAGAGAGATTATAAATGAACCTTCCAGAATCACACCATCAGTAAATGACTGAGTGTTCAATACAGATCATGGGATGTATCCAAAGTTCACCACACCACACTGCCTAGGCAGAGCTCTGAAGGATTAGCAGAAGACAGAGAAGGGAAGTGTGGGAAGAGGAAGGCACAGAAATTGGGATCAGGTGAACCAGGTATGTGAGGTGGACAGACCATGGACCAGGATAGCCACATCTCTGATATCATATGGATAAGCCACCTGTATCCTCCATCTCCCAAGCCCCATTTCACCGCTGCATATGAGGCTGGTTCCTCCCACCTGCCTTGAGGAGATGCTGAGGACCAGACAAGTTCATAGACGTGAGTGTTTCTAGAATGAGGCAGTGTACCTGAGGTTCCTGCCTCCTTTATAACCCTTACCTTGCAACTGGGAGACATTTAGGAAGCCGAAGCCAGTACAGCATGGGTCCCTGTCACATAGTCGCTCACACTCAAAGAACCTGGCATCAGAAGAGAAGGCATATATGAAGGCCCCAGTGGGTGTCCAGGATCTACTGTATGGGCTGAATGGAGTCACTCAAACTTTAAGGGATCAGCTTTCTTGCTAAGCACCTAGAGTGTGTGGTGCTTACCATACACTTTAATAATGAGCCTTGGCCAACATGCACAAGCGGAGTCCTAGCTCTCTAAAAAGAAAATTCTACTCTTCTCTTGAGAATGTTATCCTCAGAGCCTCCATTCATTCATTCACTTATTCAGCAAGCAGGAATTTCTGTCATGTGCCAGGATCCAACTCAAGTTAACCCAGATCCTGAATGCACCATTACAACCCATTCTGATAGGAAAGAGTCTTGGCTTTGGGTTCTGGAAACAGAAACCAGTGGTAGGAAAGAGCCTAGGAAGGGACATTCAGCTGGCTCACAGACAAGGTGACCCACCAGGACCTGCTTCAGCAGCAAAGAGGGGGAGTTTTGTTGCCCCTGGCTTCTGCACTGCTCACTCTGTGTCATGGACTACTCTAAGACCTTGTCTTTTGGCCCACCCCATCCAGGCTCTCCAGGACCTTCCTTATTCATCCACCCAATATGACTACAAGATCCCTACCCTTTGCTTCATGGCAGGAGCCATTTAGCACTCCAAACCAGTGCTCTGGGGCTCAGTTCTAAGATCTCCCTGCCTTGACCCAATGTCTTGATCTGATCATTCACTCTGACTCCCTAGAGTTTGCATTTCATTCTTGCTGCTCTTCCCCGAACCCAAGTCACACCCCCGTTTGGACCTTGTGTCTGCTGGGCAGCTTCTCCAACGTAGATTGTATCTCTTTCCTGAAGCTGGGAAGCCACCCCCTGTCCTTTTCTATCCTAGATTCCTGCCCGCAGCTATGTACCTCCTGCCTACTACTTCCCTTATTGAAAGCTCACTGCTAAGCTCCAGCCCAGACCATGGGCTTTTCTAACTAACCACAAGCTCCTTTCCCAGTACTAGGCTCAGCATGGTGGTTTCCAGTTCCTGGCCCCTACCCCAGCTTGATGATGCCTGGTTTCTATTCCTTCCCCCAGCAAGGTGATATCCAGCTGGATCTTATAACAGACTAGCCTATGTCATCTTTTGATCTCTATTCTGAGAAGTAGATTCAAATGCCAGCAACATGATGCAATTCCATAACTCAACAAAACTTCAGAGATTAACAGTTTATGGATCAGTGACTTTTAAACTCCAAAACACTACTGGGATCTTCCTCACAATCTGATTCTTGAGTCCCGTCCCAGGGCCTCAGCTTAGGGAGGTCCAGGCCAGACCCAGGAATGTGGTTAGTCAAAAGCACTCTTGGGGATTCTGAAGGGCAGGGTCCACAGACTGCACTGAGAGAAACCTCACCTTCAGTTATAACAATTAACCACAAAGTCAATAAAGAAATAATTGACACAAGTAGTAGCAATAATAAATACAGCATCCTTATAAGCTAAGGTTTTATTAGAAATTCTCCGTGCTCTTCTGAGCAGCTTTGAGGAACAAGTTCATTGCTATCTCAATGATTTTTATTAATCAACAAGACAGTTCAGTTTGCCTCATCTCCCTCTCAGAAGACTGAGTTAAATTTGGGACTTAATATGGCCTTCATTGAGGTTTTTCAATCTGGTTACCTCCTACACCCTTGGCTTCAGGTTGTACCGTTGTTATTGTAAGTCTGTCTTTAACAGTTAAGCCATCTTCTTTCCCTGGAAGCCAGAGTCTTAATAATAAGCATGAACTTGGCCGCTTACCCATTGGAAATGGGTTTTCCAGACATGGGGATTTTGTCTCTGATGGAAATCCCTGACAGCTTTTGGAATGGAAGGCGGGTATAAAAGTTCTTCACTCGCTCATTCAGTACCACTGCATAGGAAAAAAAAAAACAACTTATTACTTGTACAATGTGAGAACAATGAGTACAACCCGACAGCTTCCAAGGAAGGTGGCCCAGTCAACTCATGCCTGACTCTTGGTTCCCATCCCAGATCTCACTAAAATCACAGTCAATGGATTTTGTTTGTTTCTTGAGACAGAGTCCCATGGGGCCTATGATAGCCTTGCACTCAATATATAGCCAGGGATGTCCCTGAACTTCTGATCCTCCTGCTTCTACCTCCTGAGTACTAGGGTTACTGGTATGGTCACCATACCCTTTTATGAGGTGCTTGGGATTAAACCCGAAGGATTTTTGTAAAGGTACAAATCTATGAGACTACAGAGAATCAGAAAGCTATGAAGTCATGTAACCTCAGGAGCTATCAGGGGCTAGAAAACCTGTGCAGGAATAAAAATCAGCTCTGTAGACCCAGAGAGACTGTTCTTCCCTGGGAGAAGGACCAATGAGAGAGACTCCTACAAGGTTCATATGTTGGCAGTGCCAGGGGAGAATGCGGCCTAAGAGAGAGACATGGATTGCTTTCCACAGCTGACAAGTGTCTCTCCCACAGTGGCAAATATACAAGGTTTATTTCTGTAAGGGTCAGAAGAGAGGGCCTCTTGGGGGCCCTAGAGAGTAGACACAGCAAGGTTTGCAAGCATGGGCTAGGCCTCCGAGATACTTGAGACTCCCCCATCTTGCTACTCTAGTCACCCAGGCCACGTGCTGTGAGATCCTCTAGAGGAAGTTCTAAACACTAGAAGGATCCCCAGGGTGACTGGATCAGATTATACTAAAGAGAAACTTTGCTCAACAAGTTCTCACCAAACAGAGTTGCTCTATGGCCTTGTGGGCCTCTTACATTTGAGTGGAAACTAGGGGCCTCCAGACCTGTCAGGAGGGTCTCACCAAATAAGATGCAAGAAGAAATGACTAGCAACAGCATCTAGGGGAGTAGAGACTGTACAGGGTGAGACAAATGGCATTATCAGTGTCCTTGAAGAGAGACGGCAACTGTTCTGGAAGTTTCCATGCCACACATTGGTGTGGAATCCTAGCACAAGTCCGTCAGCAGTGGCTGTGCCTGAAGTGAGACCCCAGAGAAGACCACTCCCCAGAGCCAGCCTGGTGCCTTTCTTAGTGGCTTCACATCTCTGAAGGAGCACAGATAACCTTACTTTTAAAGAGAAGAAATTCATCTCACTGTTTCTGAAACCACGGAGCTGTGGCCCATTAGATAGTTAATCAGTGCTCACCTTTCTTCTGGAAGAGGGCCTTTGGTTGGTGGGGCAGGATCAGGTTGCAGCCTTTGGCACTAGACTCCATGACATTGTCACAGACCTGGGCTTCTGGGTAGAGGAAGCAGGTGAAGTGCAAGGGTGTGGTCTCTGTTATGTCTGCGATCTGACAGAAAGCAGGCTCCTCGATACACCCTGAAGGCAAGAAGGCAGTTGATGTTTAGTCCTTGGAAGGCCTTGGGTGGAAAGATGACCTCCATAAAATCAACTGGGAAATCTTCCAGGCAGAAGCCCAGAACAGTCATGAACACCAAAACAAAGACACTGGGGTTCTACTGGCTGTGGAAGGAGGTGATATTATGGTTAAGCACAGGCAGAGCCAGAGTGAGAAGAGGGGTCAGCCTCAAACTCAGCAACATAGGAGGCAAAAGAACAAGAGCCCCGAAGCTTTACCACATGGCCATGCCAGGGGCAGAGAGGGTCAGCAGACCAGCAACAAGGGATCCTCATAGAATGGGCTCTCTATCCCCAACCTATGTGTCAGTCTTGCCAAAGGTACATGTGAACTCCTTGAGGGCCAGGACCATGGCTGATTCTGCTTTGGATTTTATCCACAAAGTCAAATACAAAGCCTATGGCCTCAACAGTGGATAGGTGGATGGATAGCTGACTGGCTGGCTGACTGGATGGATGAATAGATAGACAGATGGATGATAGTTCTGCTTGCTGACACTGTGGCTTCTTGAAGGCAGGTATCAGGTCCTATTTCTAAGAATGTGGTGACCCCTAAGTAGTTATGCCATTGAATTTGAACTTGTCTACGTCTCAGGAGTTGTTGAATCAGGATCTGGAAGGAGGACATGGCCTAAGGACACTCACGAGAGAGGCACCACAGGTTTGCCTGCTGTGCTGAAAACAGGTGTGTGAAGAGCCAGTACTGCTGGCTGGGCAACGAGTGGCTTGCATTGACAATGACCCGGGTAAGGTCCACAGGGGAGAAAAGTTCTGTTGTCGCATCTGAAAAAGAAAGAGAAAATCAGGTTCCTTCACCTTTATCTCTACAGTGAATATGAAACAGGCAGAGAAATAGACAGGGGTGGGGTGAGGCAGATCGGAGATACAGATGGAGATATTTTCACACGATATGAGGACAGGGTAGGTCTGAAGATGACAGGGCTCAGAGTCTGGTCAGACAAGAGGGGTTCAGAAGGTTTCAGAACATCTTCTTAATTAGAGTTGGAAATCTAGGGCTTCAATTTATAGGAGACCTTGAGAGCCCTCTGGGTCACCTTTATACCCAAGGCAGGGCTTTTCTCTGAGATTTCAGCCCCCGTCTTGATGGCTCCACGGGACGATGTTGTGCCCACTACAGCAGCCCCGTGGCCAGATCCTTTTCTAAAACTTTCAGCCAGCCAAGTTCCTTTGTCTATTGAAGTCATGTTGGAGTCTATCTAGTCTTTGAGCCTAATGACATCAGGGTCATGGGGGCAGGTTGGTGTACTACAAGAGTTGGCTATAAATCAAGCTGGGCTCCCTCTTGCTCTCTTGAACCACTTTGATGTTTTTCAATGTGTAATGCTATAGCAGGAAGGCTATACCAGATGTGGTGCTAGAGTCTCAGACTTGTCAGTCTTCCAGAGTCAGTAGCCAAATACACTTGTGTTCATGATAAACTACCTAGTCTGTGGCATTTTGTTACAGCCAGTACCAAGTAGCCTAAGACACTTTCCTTATGTCCTCGGCCTTACCCTCCTGCCCTCCCTCTCCTGCTCCCTAGATCTTAGTGTCACCTAGGTAATAACAACCCAACTGTAGGTTCTAGAATGAGGAGGACCATCCCCTCCCCGTGTGCAGCCCCCATTCCTGTCTTTCCATGACTGTTCATTCTGCCACAGTTGCATTTTGCTCAGCTCTCCAAGGCTGCCATGAGTGAAGCCCTGGGTGTGGTCAGCTGAGTCTGGTCCTTAATCAGGCAGTTTCTCCTGCTTCGGTTGCACTTGTTTTCATTTCAGAACAGTGGGAACTAGCAATGAAGTTGCCTTACATTCTTGTGGTGGTTTGAATGAGAACGTCCCTGCAGGCTCCAAGCATTTGGACACTTTGTCCCCAGTTGGTGGCGCTGTTTTGGGAGTCTTTAGGAGGTATGGCCTTGCACTGGGGGTGGACTTTGAGAGTTCCTAAGCCTTACCACCTTGTCTCCCCACCATAATGGACTATAATCCCTCTGGAACCATAAGCTCGAATAAACTTTCTTTTATAAGTTCACTTGATCATGGTATTTTATCACAGCAACAGAAAAGTAAGAGAATTCTGTTCTGACTGCCAACTTGAGAAGCTTCTGCATTTGTAAATATCTATGTATTTGGATAATCGGACTAATGGCATAGGAAGGGGCTCCATGGCTACTGAAGGAAGTGATAATGAGGGGTTCATTCATTAATTAGACCCTGGGTGTCACTGTCTTGTCTCCACAGCCAGCACTCAGCTGTGTAAACTCTTGGTGATCATACCTGCTTCTACTGGAAAGGCTGGCCTCAGAACCAGGTCTCTTCCACATCCCATCGACTCAGGACGAGACCTCATGTCAGAATCTAGGAGGAATGAAAAAAATCACTGATAATGGTGAGGGAGCCATGTAGCAAGTCTTGTGTCCTAAGGCCAGGTCCTCAACACAAGACAGGGACAGATCTAGCCACCCAGTTCTTCAGTCTTGGCCCTGCTCCAAACATCAACCAACCTCTCAGACTAGAGAACTCAGCTTCCCATGACATTACAATTGTTAACATTCACCCTTTCTAAAATGCTCATAAACATTGGTCTTCACAATATCTTTGAGGGTTAGGAAGAAGGGTCACATGCTACTTTTGAGAAATGAGGCTCAGAGAAGGGGAAGAACTCATCCCAGGACCCTCAGAGGATCAATAGGCAAGTTAGAATTAAAAACATTTAACAAAATTCTATACTACCATTCCCCTTGGGCCTTGTCCCACCACCCTGAGCCTCAGGGAAAGAGGCATGTGGGGTCGAGCGCCCTGGACAAATGTTTCCTGTGGTTTGCAAGAGCCTATCAGCCCCGACAGGTGACAAGGGCATCCTGTGCCAGTATACTCCATCTCCCCAGAACCAGCATTTCCTGAGTCCCCCATTCTTTTTTGAAACTATACATCTCATCTGATGCGGAGTGGGAGTCCTTCCATTCCACAGAGAGCACCCTGTGAGTGCAAACTGGACCCAAGCTCATGGAGTCATTGTCCATCATCCCTGCCCTCCCACCTTGGAGCTTACCTTTCCAGAGGTAAACCTGCTGGAAGCTGGTAACAGTGTCCTTAGCGCTCTCCAGAGGAGCCAGACCTGCAGAGGAAGATTGGGGTTTGATGTGTTACTTACGCTTACTCTCGCTAGGCACTCACCTTTACCACAACTGACGCATCATCCCCCAGACCTTCCTGGCTTGAGAAATCTGCTCTCCACAGGGATACCGCAAAGCCTCATGGAGCACCATTCTAGCTCTGAGGTATAAAAGCAGAGCTGGTCAGACTTCAAGGATCCAGGTCAGGGCACCAAAGACACTATTGTGAGGAAGGTGCCAAACTACAATACAGGAGAATGACATAAAGAATTGAGGACTGGCTTGAAGAAAGCAAGGCTCCTAGGAGACCCCAAGTGAATATTCCCTGACATCAAACTCATCTGAGACTCTGGTTTCCTTAAAAATGAGCCTGGGGCTGAGATGGCTCAGCAGGTCATGGTGCTTGCCACCAAATCTGACGTCCTGAGGTTATCTCCGTATCTTCCACCCACTTGGGGGGAGGAAAGAACTAACTGTCCCAAGTTGACATTTTATTTCCATATGTACACAGTGGCACATGTTCCCATACAACATACATAACATACATACATAGAAACACACAAATAAATATCATAAGTGGGGCTGGCAACCAGATGAGAAGCTGCCTGTGTTATAGAAACTGGCTTTTCAATCCTCAACATTTTAAATATACCCAATCATTGATGGCTTCTCTCATTTAATTTATTGATAATGTAGTTACATATTCTTTTTCAAAGTTTTGATGGCAGTATAAGATGACACCATTAGTGTGGACTGAAATCCAGTCTGGCTGATGTTCGTAGAAGAAGAAGAAAATTTGAATAGAGGCACATAAGAAGATACTACATGGAAATAAATGCAAAAACTTGAAGTGATACAGCGTTGAGCCAAGAAATAACAAGAACTGACAGACATGACATGCAAAGAAACGGGTTCCCTCGGACTCTCAGAAGGAGTGTATCCTCCTTCCCATGCCTTTAGTTTGGACCTTCAGCTTCCAGAATGTGAGAGAATAAATTTTATTTAATTAAAACAATTGTTGGTGTATATTCATTGTGTATATTGGTGGGTTTCATGAGGGCATTTTGATTGAAGTATATTGTATACTTCGACCATATTCACACCCCAGACCCTCTCCTTTCTCCAGCGATACCCACATCTGTCACTCTGATAGCTGGGAACTCCCTTGGCCTTGAGAGTGGAAAACTTTCCAGCTTTTTCACCCAGTACCTGACCTCCTGCCTCCCACATGCCTGGTAGACTTTTATTGTGTGTAATGGAGGACAGAGCACAAGGTTACAGGGACTCTGAATACTGCAACAGACTTACCTTGCTCATAGCTGTTCACATGCCTCCTTCTCACCTCTACTGTTCACACCATCCCTCCTGGGCCCTCTATTCCCTTTCCCCAACAGCCTTTTAACACCCTTCCTTTGCCACCCTAGAAGCAGAATTTGCTGTGAGCTGGCATTCAGACCCAGGACTTGGAATATAAAGACTCTGCAGTGAAATCTAAGAAGTGAAATTCCCAGTTGTCCAGGTGCCAAAGCTTTTCTGCTACAATGATGGATCACCTGAAAGCACTTTCTGCTTCCAGGAAATCATATGTGGTACCAATATAGCAGAAAGTGGCCCTAACAGACATGGTGGGGAGCCTGTACAGCTCGGGCCTCAAAGATGAAGGCTTGAGCCATAACTATGACACTAATGCAAAGATTGTTTCCTATAGTACACCATGTCACAGTTCTGAACTGCCTCAGGGGTCAAATCTGCCTCACCAAGTGGCCCAAAGCATCACTTGCATTGAGGCTCATGAAAGCACTTTAATAATGCAGGGATTCTGTTTGACTGTATTTTTCTACAGCTAGCATCATATTCACCTCAGCTTTCTAAGACAAAGAGAAGCCTGCCTTACCCAGGACCAGGTCTCTGCTGGACCAGACCTTGACAGCAGCAGCTGGCTGAGAAATGGAAGCAATGCGCCCTGCTGAGGGATGCCGTGAGACACGCAGGCGGAAACCAGGGACTTGGAAACAATACTTTGTGTTGCTGTTTGCATAGCATACTGACATTTCACACAGAAAGTGCCCACCTTTTACAGATGGAAACTCTGAGGCTCAAGGTACCTAAGTACCTTGAAGAAAGTCAGAGAACTATGGGGAGAATGTGAGACTCAGTTCAAAGAATTAGAAGTGCAAACCACTGATATATAGTCTCTTCTCTGTGTGTGTCATGTCATGCCTCCTTTAACCCTCTCAGCTGTCCCCAGGATTCTCATCCTAATCTTCCTTTGAAACTGAGAAGACCAAGGCCTGGGCAGACCTAATACTAAGCAAGCAATCACAACAGGGTTTGGAGCAGGAATCTGCTTCCAACTCTACAATACAGTCACCACCAATCTAATTGTTAAGTGAGAAGAAAGGGGCCATCAGTGAGCTTTGGGAGAGACAAGAGTGTATTGTTTTTCTTGTTTTCTCATCTGTAGTTCTTTCTCATGTCCTTTCAATTCCTCCTTTGCCCTCTCCAGCCGTTCATAGCCCTGGAATCTTCACTCCGTCTCTTCTGTCAATGTCTGCTGTAGAACATGCTGTTTATTGTCATCCACAGTTTAATACAAATTTAAGTCACTATGTTGCTTTCCCCATCAGTTAACTGCACTTAAATATTGGAAGTCAGTATTTAAGCACAATTTTTACTGGGAAAGGGCTTTCCAATTGAGAACAATAGGAGTAGTTCTCTGATCAATCTATGCATAAGACAACCTCTCATAACACCAAGAACATATTCCAGGCTGCTCTGATGTCCTCATTAAAAGGCATCTTTTCAAACCTTGCCTTCAGCCTAGAACACACACACACATACACACACACACACACACACACACACACACCGAGAGAGAGAGAGAGAGAGAGAGAGAGAGAGAGAGAGAGAGAGATTTCTCAACTGGTAATGTGCTTGCTTTGCAGTTGTGAGGACCCGAGTTCAAGCCCTAGAACCCTTGTTAAAAGCCAGGCACACACTCATAATCTCTGCAAAGGTAAGACAGAAGGCAGAGACAGGCAGATCCCTGGAAGTTCACTCGTCAGATAGTTGTGGTCAAGCTCCAGGTCAGTGAGAGACCCTGTCTTAAACACAAAGTAGAAGGCACTTAAGGAATGATACCCAAGGTTTCCCTCTGACCTATACACACACACAGCCCTAAAGCCTTCAAAAGCCATCTAATTGTCAGTCCTTTGCAGGGAGGCCAGGCCAGGGCACATTCTTGGAGCCTTAGGCACACACCAAGCACATGTTCTGGCTTAAGCAGTTCACTGAGTCATTGCCCATGAATTTATCATGTGTCTTTCCTGAAATGCCTGTTTTTGCCCTGGGCTGCCTCTCAGAATAATGAAGACCATATGTGTAGCATCCATCCCATAAACAACCTGAGTGATTCTGTTTACTCCTAAGAAGCTACTTAGACCTTCTGGAATTCCATCAGATTCTGCAGTGTGTTTCCATACTCTGGTTAGGTACACTGCCCAAATATCCTGTGTTTTCTATACTGGATTTTAAGCTATAGAACCCAGGAATTAGAAAGATATATCTAATAATTCAAATATAACAAAGAACAACAGCGTGAATTAAAATTAATGACAACATATCTTCCAAAGTTCTCCCTGCATTACCTCCATGAGGACCAGTGAGAGAGGGGCTAAAACACCAGGAGCCTACTTTCAGACAGTAGTGTGCCCCTTGATACACTGTGTGTCCAGTACAGGTCCCAGCTTTCACACGGCCTGACCTAACAATCTCATAAGGTGTTTCTATGACACTTGCTATTGCCATCCTTTCCTCCAACCTAGCAGGCAATAAGCATGAACATTATTGGGACTAGTTCTCAAAACACAGATTCCTGGTCCTGGGCCTTGATGGGTAGAGGCCTGAGACTGTGCATGTATAACTGGTTCCAAGTTATACCGGTCATGTTGGCTCTGACCTTATGAGCGGCACTAGCCTGGCCATCCCCCAGCTCAAGACAGAGAAGGAAGCTACTACACCTGACTTCTGAGAGGGACAGCCAAGCTAGGGACAGGAAGGAGGTCTGACTGGCACAGTGAAGCCTCAGAAACTCAGCTCCCACCTCTGTGGACCGAGGGCAGGCCTTCTATCTCTAGCATTTGTAAATATTTAAGAACAGTCCGAAGAGCTTCAAAAAGAAATCCAGGCAGGAGACATCTCACTGTGGCCCCTACCTGTAATAGGCCACTATCCCCAACCCCTGTGGTTAGAATGGGCAGTGCATTAGTCATCACATGAAAGTCCTTAGTGCTCCAGGGAGAATGGCCAGGGCATCTCAATCCAGTCCCCCACCCTCACGTGTCTTCAGGTATTTAACAGGTGACTTTGCAGCTCCTCTCACTAATGAAACAGCGTCCTTCCCATCCTTTAGCTTCTGGTTTCCCCATGTGGTTTGTTTATGCAGCAGAATAAGGGAGAAGTGAGTGTGCCTGGGCTTCCAGGGGCTTACACTCCTTCCTTGTTCTGTCCTGCTTCTGCCACCTGCAGGAGAAGAGCATGCTCTTCCTACGGAGGAGGAAACGGGCCCTCAGCCTGTCCAAGGCTAAGTAGCCAGCAGTCAGGCATGCTGGATCCCTTTGCGAGTCTGCTAATTTCAGGAGGCCTGCCAATGGCCACCTGGCCCCAGCCAGCCTCCACCTTTGAGAGCTAAATCAATGTGATGCTTTGCTGAGATGCCTGAGTTCCTGTGGCAGTATTCTGTGCAATATCATAGGTATCATTTCCCTGGGTCCTTCATAGCCAGGAGGAGGAGAGGTTGCTGGGTCCTTCATAGCCAGGAGGAGGAGAGGTTGCTGGGTCCTTCATAGCCAGGAGGAGTAGAGGTTGCTGGGTCCTTCATAGCCAGGAGGAGGAGAGGAAGGGAATACACTGTGCTCTGGAAGCCATTTAGCTGAGGATAAGTGCAAAGTCTCTGGTCCTAGAGCTGCTCCTAAGGAGTTAGTATAGCCCCTACTGGTGGGAAGAGGAACTTGGAAGTATGGTCAAAGGTAGAGGCTTACCTTTCAGGAACTTCTGGCCTCCCAGATTCAAGGCCATCTGGCCACTCTCCTGGTCATACATTATCCCAGAACATGTAGCATTGTCCTGGATGTTAGAGGTGTCCCGCCAGTCATTGATGTGGCAAAGCAGAATGTCAGGGGAGCTGAGCAATCCACAGATGGTGGGCCCTGCAGAGACATGGGCAGGAGAGGCCAGAGTAAGGGAGACCAGCAGGCCCTACAGAGCCGCGCTATGCCCTGAGAGCCCAGTACAATGCCCAAGGATGGGATGCTGGGACCCCAGAGCCTGCTTTAGTTGAGTTCACCTTCCAGAGATGGCGTTAGGAGTCATCTTATGTGGTCATCTTACATGGCCACAATATTATGACAGTTGTGGAAATGCCCCGTTGTAGTCACCAGCTGGAGACTTTCTCAGTTGCTGGGTTGTGGTGGGGCTGAGATAGCATTTGGGAGTCACCATTCATAAAAAGTACACCAAAGATTCTGCTGTGGAGCCAGGTTCAAGAATCACTGACCTCATTAGATCACTTCATTTTATAGAGGAGGAAAGCAAAACACAAAAATGGAGAGGTGTGTTTTTTGTGTTTGTTTGTTTTGTTTTCTGTTATTTTTTAAATATTTTACTTATTATTTTTATTTTCTGTGTATGAGTATATTGCCTGCGTATATGTAAGTGCACCTGTATCATTCAATGCCTGAGGAGGTCAGAAGAGGGCATTGGATCCCCTGGAACTGGAGTTAAGGATGGGTGTTAGCCACTATGTGGGTACTGGGAATTGAACCTGGGTCCTCTGCAAAAGAAGCCAGCGCTCTTAAACCACTGAGCCATCTCTACAGCCCTTTGTTATTGTTTTTTGTTTTTGTGGTTAAGCTGGAGCAGAATGGCTGGAAGCAGCAGAAACCCCAGCAAAGAGCAGACTGGGCTGGCATAGTATGATCAGGGAGGCCTGGGTATAACAAGAGAGTGTGGAATACATATGAAGTCTGAGAACCATCGTTTAGGGGAGAGAGAGATACAGAGAGAGAAAAAAGTAACAGAATTAATGCAGAGACAGGTGCCCTTGTTCTCCATACCAAGCCAGAAGGTATCATACAACTTCCTCCACTCACACTGCATGTGTCTGAAGAGTCTGTGCACCTGTGATGGGGACCCTGCTGACTACGCCCTGACTACTTCAATGACAATTATATGAGGCTTAAGCCATGGGTGTCCCCCTAAGCCTCCTTTCTCAGTAGACTGGTAGACTTCATTACCTCTACAGGCGCAGAGCCTCCTGAGTTGTCACTAACCACTCTCTATTAAAAATACAGCGTTGGAGGCTGGAGAGATGGCTCAGTGGTTAAGAGCACTGACTGTTCTTGCAGAGGACCCAGGTTCAATTCCCAGCACCACATGGCAGCTAACAACTGTCCATAACTCCTGTTCTAGGGAATACAAGGCCCTCTTCTGACATCTGCAGGCATTGCATGTCATGCGTACACTTACATGCATGCAGGCAATATACTCAAATACATAAAATAAAATAGATAAAAATAAAATATTAAAAAATAAAAATACAGCTTTTGGGGGCTGGAGAGAGGGCTCCATGGTTAAGAGCACTGGCTGCTCTTGCAGAGGACCCAGGTTCAATTTCCAGCACCCATATGGCAGCTAACAAACACCCTTAACTCCAGTTCTAGGGGATCCGACACCCTCTTCTGATCTCCTCGGGCATTGCATGACACAGCTGCACTTGCATATATGCAGGCAATACACTCATACACAGAAAAGAAATGAAAATCCTAAATAAAATATTTTTTAAAGTACAGCTTTGGAGCTGGAGGTGGGAGGCCAGAGGAGGATAATGGCAGCTGGTAGCTTTGGAGAGGAGGAAGGGAAAGAGGAAATATATATACATAAAAAAAAAAGCTAAATGACTTTGCAGGCTGTGGTAGAAGTTGTAGTGGGAATCTGTCCCCAGACCTCAGCAGGTCCAGCCAAAGCTCTGTAAGTTAACTCTCCTTACCACCCATTACACTGGATGAGGCTGGGAGGACAGCCAGATAGCTCAGGCACATCCCAAGGGGTCCAAACTCTGGCAATGCACATGGTGTTCGGGGTGGGGTGAAATGTTGGGCTCAGGATAATTCAGATATCACAGGTTAGACTTGGTAGAATATGAAGCAGGGTGCCAACCAGAGTGTCATGGAAAACAGGGCTCAGTGAACTCACTGCTGCATCAAACAAAATGATCCTATATATGATCCTAGGGAAAATGAAGTCAGTATTTCCACATGGAGAGATCACATGGTCTGGTGAGTAACCTAGCATCTGGAGGATCATTGACACCCACAGAGGATATGTTTAGTTTAAAGAGGCATCCTGGAAGGCAGACTTTCTAAATATGCATAGACATGTGTCTATGCTGATGTGTATGTGGGTTTAATGATTTCCCTGTCTAAACACTAGCATAAACCCATATTATATAATTATAGGGCTAGAAGGACTGTTAGGAACCAACTTACTCTAACCAGGTTTCTGCCCTACCTCTCCAACAAAACAGTCTCATTCTGGAGGTTGGGACGTAGTTTGGTTCATGGGGTATTTGCCTAGCAAAGCCCTAGGGTCAATCTCCAACACTATATAAACCCAGCATGGTAAAGCACACTTGAGGCCCTGGAGAAGTAGGGGCAGGAGGGTGAAAGTTCAAAGTCATCCTTGGATACATAGTGAATTCCAACCCGGGAATTCTAATCCAAGAGAAAAAACAAACCAACCAGTTTTATTCTTGCCGTCACTGACCATGGTGAGCTCATCCCGGCATCTTCCAATGAGCTCTTGGCAACATGAGGGACTGTCATGGCTCCCTGAATGGCCTACCTTCCTCTAGAATCCCTACTCTGGGCCTTTCTCCCAGCCTAGTAGCTCTGCGTATTCACCGCCTTTCTTGTGAGCATTAACTGAGATCACCCCTTCATCTTCTCACTCACCACTTTCTGTCTTCCCAGAACTCTTGCCTGGACTCTCACCTTCTTTTATTTGAAAAGAAAACAGACAGGGTCTCATGTATTCCATGCTGTCCTCTAACTCAATGACCTTGAACTTCTGATGTTCCTGCCTCCACCTCCCTAGTGTTAGGATTACAAGAGTGGACCTGGTTTTATGTAGTACTGGAGATCAAACCCAGAGCTTCACACACATGAGGCAAACACTGTACCAACTGAGTCACGTTCCTAGGCCTAGTACATCTTCTAGCACTGGGTGCTGCTGACAATCCACCAGTTTCTGTCTTCTGTTCAGTCTGCTGTTCTGAGCCCTAGAGCTTTATATCCCAAATGAGCTACATTTTGTGAATGTCTTAAAGGCACTCCAAGCTCTGTGTATCCAGATGGACTCCTCTGGTGTTATGAAATTGGCATGTGGTGGCTTCCATTATTTATTACTCACCACAGAGTAGATTCATCCACCAGGTGAACCAGCCGGACAGGTTACCTCTGAGACTTTCTTCTTCCTTACTACCCATACCCAGAGTCCTGTAGGATTTGTCTCGTTCTCACGACCACCACTGCCATCACCCTGGCCTTGGCCACCTAATCTACTACACAACTCCTCACCTGCTCATCCCTCCGCACCTGATTGAACCTCATCTGTCAACTTTGCTGGCTTCAAACCCACGTGTGATTGTGAGCCTTGCTGGCTTAAAACCTCATCACACAGACTCTCCTGGTGTTTTTCAAGCCAATGCCACCTCCTGCTTGCTCTTCCCCCTCTGGGGATCACAGCTAACTTGCAGTTCCTCCTCTTCATCACACACTCTTTTCCCACAGAATTTTTGCATGTCTTCCTCCTCAACCCACAGCTAGCTTCCCTTTTCTCCAAGTTAAAACCTACACTCCGTTCAAGACTTAAGAGGCCTTCCTTTGTTTCTATGTCAGAATAGGATCCCTTTTCTCCAAGTTAAAACCTACACTCCGTTCAAGACTTAAGAGGCCTTCGTTTATAAGTCAGAATAGGACAAAACACTTATTATTTGTTTCCAAAGTCATAGTTAACTTTCTTTCAAGGCCTAGTAATTACCAAAATGATCCTTTTTCCCCCATAGAAGGAGGGAAGGCAAGAAAAGAAAGTTCATCCACTGCCTGTGCCGACCTGCTTACTGAGAAGGGCAGTGACTGCTGGTATTCTTCAAAACAGTCTCCCAGGCCCTAGCTCTGCACCAGCAAAGTCCACTCCTGCTTCTCCTGCTTCTCTTGTCTCATCTGTAATGTTTCACTTCCCTGTTTTACCTACAAGGAAACTGCAAATGGTTTAGGCAACTTGTCCAAGAGTG